TCGTACTGAATGTGAATCATTTTTGTATCATTGTAAATTTTTTAAAAATCACGAATCAAACCATCATTTTTTTCCTATTTCTTCCCAACCAGTCTTTTATTCGTTCCCCCACAAAATATCTATCCAATGCAATAATTTGAAACTGCTGCTAAAGCAACAAATTTCAGAAAATCCATTTAAAGGATAAGGCCTATGGATTTGTGTGTATTACTTTCATTTTACCTCAAACTATCTTTAACTGGAGACTACTGTAGTTTGTATCCAGAATGTCACCCAAAGTCTTAATTCTCAGTTTGGTGCTATTGGAAGCCAGTGGAAACCTTTAAGAGGCGGGGCCTAAGACTTGCTTCACAAGCATGAAGCCCTGAGTTCAAACCCCAGTACTGCCAAAAGAAAAAGAGGTAGGGCTTAATGGGAGGCTTTAGGTCAATAGGGGCATGCCCTCAAAAGGGATTGTGGGATTCCAATGTCTTACTATTTGCTTCCTAGTTTCCATGAAGTGAGCAGCTTGCTTCTAACACCTGCTCCCTTATGATATACTGACTGGTTACAGTCCTAAAAGCCACAACACCAGCCAACTGAACCTCCAAAACTGTGAGCCAAAATAAACTTTTCTCTTTTTAAGTCAATTATCTCAGTGTTTTGGTACAGCAACAGAAACCAACACAAAAAATTGATACTGAGAAGAAGGGTCATTGCCGTGACTACACCTGATGAAGTATTTCAGTCAGAAGCCCTTGGAATTGGTTTGTAGGAGGAGTTTGGAAATGTTTGGAGAAGGAGGCTAGAGAAAGCCTATGGTGCTTTAAGTAGAGCTTAACTTGCAGTTCTGGTGGGGGCTCAGAAGATTAGAATGCTGGTAGAAATGCAGGCATTAAAGGCTGTGCTTATGAGGTTTTATGTAGAAATGAGGATTCTATTGGAAATAGAGGCTATCCTTGTATACTGCAGCAAAGAATTTAGGACTTCGTGAGAGGCTGAGTTTACCTGGTGGTAGAAAATGTCAAAATAACACAGCAGGATTCTGGTCTTGGCATAGGTATTACTAGCTGCTTTTAGCCAGATTTATCCCAGGTTCAAGGATGAACAGAGAAGATTAGAAAAACTTGCAGTTTTGTGAGAAAAGGAGTATGTATAAAGTTCTAGCCATACTGGGCACAGGTGACTCAGGCCTGCAATCCTAGCTACTCTGGAGGCAGAGAATGGGAGGATCATGGTTTGAAATGAGGCCAGGCAAATAGTTCACAAAATACCCAACACTAAAAAAGGGCTGGTAGAGTGACTCAAGTGGTAGAGCACCTGCTTAGCAAGCACAAGACCCTAGTTCAAGCCATAGTACCACCAAAATAAATAAATAAAGTTCCAGTCAAAAGGGGTGTTGCAGTTATTAAAAAGAAACAAGTGTTTTATACAAAGACAATAGGAAAGATGCCCCCACCCATTGCAGGCTTAAAGGCATAAAAGGTAAATTCATTTGCAAGACTCTTTGAGGAAGAGAGGCTTGGCACCACCTAGAGAACCACTGTCAGCAAGGCACCAGAGGTCATTATGACCCTGGCTCAAACAGGCAACAATACAGCCTGTATCAGCAGCAGACCTTGGTGTTGGGTTTTGCAGGCATACAGAATGCAAAAGTTATGGAGTCAGGGAGGCTTCCACCAAGATTTCAAAGGAAAGCTTCAGAGGCCAGAATGTATGGCTGGGTCAGAGTCTCTTTGTGAGGGAAGTAAATAGCAGAAGTGACTTTATCTTAAATAAAGAAGACAGGGAGGCCAAAAGGTAGCACATAGTGGGGTTAATTGGGAAGGAAATGCACTTTCAGCAAGTTGGGGACAGAGGATGGGGTCAGGCTTTAAAGATGGAATATTTGTTAAAGCTTTGGGTTCTTTTGACACCTGGGATGATCTCCTGGGTTTGGGGTCATTGTCTTGTTACATGAGAGAGAGATTACCTATGTAACTATTTGTTATTACCTACGTAATCTATGTAAACTATGTCTTGCTCAATCGACAGAGAGTTTTTGTTTGAAATTCCTAACCTCTACTCTATCCAGCTCCTAGGTTTGGGCCATTGCCTTGTTAAGTACACTCTCAGATATAAATTACTCTTAAGTAAAGAGTGAATTAAACTTTAAGTAACTAACCTCAAGGCCGGGATGAGCTGACCAGACCATCCTGAAACGTCCAGTTTGATAAGGATGGGGTGGCCAGGTGGTCGGAATCAACTAAAATGACAGCCAATCACAAATGTAGTTTCATGGTAGAATAGGTCTACCTATAGTCAGGCAGAGCCCTATGTTATTCCCTAGACTTAGCTTTTTTCACTAAGCCCCTCCTCTTCAGAGAGCTTTGCTATCCTTTCAATAAACTTCTCTCTTGCTTCACTGTTAACTCCTGGTCCAGCATCTTCCACTTCATCAGGACGCAAACTCGGGATCAACAATCCAGTATCACCTTCTGGCAGTCCTGGCAGGTTGATACGCAGAGCTGTGGGTGTGAGGCTGATGCTGCAGTGGAAACCCCAAAGAGATAGAGATGCCAAGGATGTGAAACAACTGCCAAGGGAAGCTGTAGGCAGTGAGCATAGCCACCCTGAGAAGATGGTCTTGTGGGCTGCAGCCAGCAAGGACATAGGTGTGAAGCTGCCTGAGACCTTGGATGCTCAGAAACCACTACAGTGTGGGCCGGACGCCAGACATGAAGGCTTCAGACTTAATGTCTTCTCAGCTGAGTTTTGGTCTTTGGCCTCATCTGTACTTTCTATTCTTTTATTCTTCCTTCTGTAATGGGAATGTTCACCCTGTGCCACTGTGTCTTTGAAGTACGTAACTCATTCTTTTGGTTTGTACAGGAGCTTCAACACATGGATTTTGGAGGGCATAAACATCTAGCTCATTGCAGCAAGAATGAACTCCTGATAAATAAAGTTCCATGTTAAATGCTAAAAAAAAAAACATGGCTGAGCCCCAGTTCCTCTCTAATCCACATATAAATTTTTTAAAGTATTATTTTTCTTCCAGAGCACAAATACTTTTAAAAAGAACACTTACTGTGTTTTCTTCCTGATTACAAAAGTAGCACACGATCATAAGAGAAAATATAGAAATTGCTAAGCTTCTGGATTCTTTGATGATACCAAAGGCAGAGCCAAGTGTTTTCCTCCATTCTGCCTTGTGCTAAAGATCCAAGTTGTGTCCTTCTACATCCGGACATTTTTTTGATCTAAGTGTGACTTTAGGAATTAGCTTCACTTGTTGGCCAGTCAACTATCCCAAAATGAAAACCATTGCTCTTGGTGTACATTCTCATCTGCATAAAGGCCTGATGACATCTAAAATTCCTTTAGCTTTAGGGCTGGTGGAGTGGCTCAAATGGTAGAGTGCCTGCCTAGCAAATGTAAGGCCCTGAGTTCAAGTCCCAGTACCATAAAAAAAAAAAGACAGAATGTTAATTAGTTAGCATTTGTTGCCCTCAACACAGAGAAACTAAAGCAGATAACTTAAAAGCAACAGAGGCCAATAGGAGAAGGGGACGGACCAGGAACTAGAGAAAAGGTTAGATCAAGAAGAATTAACCTAGAAGGTAACACACACACAGGAAATCAATGTGAGTCAACTCCCTATATAGCTATCCTTATCTCAACTAGCAAAAACCCTTGTTCCTTCCTATTATTGCTTATACTCTCTTCAACAAAATTAGAGATAAGGGCAAAATAGTTTCTTCCAGGTATTGAGGGGGTGAGGGGAAGAGGGAGGGGGTGGGGTGAGTGGTAAGGGAGGGGGTGGGGGCAGGGGGGGAGAAATGGCCCAAACCTTGTATGCACATATGAATAATAAAAATAAATAAATAAACAAATAAAAAAAAAAGTTCTTTTAGCTTTAATATTCTGTTATTTGGTAACCATAGAATTGATTTTATTTAATTATTTGGGGCTCATATTTCATATCTAACTCATTAAAGAGGTCTCCTGTACCTATGACTCCAGGCAAAAGAACATGTTCTCAGGAAACATACAAGATATAATATGATGTGCAACCTGTAGAAAGCAGAAATAAAAGTATATGTGGAACATGTGACAATGGTAAGATGCACAGATAATCAATGAACAGAATATAGGGACAAAATATCAAGAAACTTTTACAAATAAGTTTGCTACCTTTTTTTTGTGTTGTTGTTGGTGCTGCAGTTTGAAGTCAGGGCCTCTACTGCTTGAATCACTCCACCATCCCTGTTTTTTGTGTTTTGGGGGATTTTTGAGAGGGTCTTGAGAGCTCTTTGCTCGGGCTGGCTTTGAACTGTGCTCTTCCTAATTTCTGCCTCCTGAGTAAATATGATTATAGGCATGAGCCACTGGCACTTGGCCAAGTTTGCTATTTTAGTATGGCATTTTGAATCAGTAGAGAATAGATGTATTTTAAATAAATGGCATTGGAACATCTAAGTAATTATTTAGAGAAAAAGGTGAATTGACATGTGTCTTTTTTTGTTTTTTCAGTGCTGGGTTTTGAACTCTGGGCCTCACACTTGCTAAACAGGCACTCTATCCCTCCAGCCATACTTCCAGTTCCACATGTGTCTTTAAAAAACAAACTGCAGAGGCATAGGGTAATCTAAGGAGACCCTGGTCTAGAAGGTCTCAGGTCCTTGCATTTCTCAAACAGAGAACTGGACAGAGACACAAACTGAAAAGCAATAGCAAAGCCTTATTGAAAGAAAAGTTACTGAAAAAAAAAAAACAGCTGTGGAGCTGGAGGGTAAAATAGCAAGGCAGAGCCAAAGCATAACATCGTTCCCTTTCCAAGGTCAGGTCTCTTTAAGGTGAGACTAGATGAAAAAGTCCCTTCATTCAGCAGCTATGCTTGTAGCAGTTCTTTTCTGATGGGTAATGTTGACATTGCTTAAATGTGGGCTTCACTGCCTGGAAGTTTCACAAGGCAGATTTTTCAGGGCAAGTCCTGGCATCACTTGGACATCTTTTTGCTTCCTTCCCGTAACCAGGCTGTTGAAATCTTAGAGGATAAAAGGCGTAGAGCGTGTGCATTCCAGGGCAAGCCAGCCAAGAATCCAGGAGCAGCCACCACCATGGACCAGAAGTCTCTCTGGGCAGGTGAGCATGGGGCTGATAATTCAGTAGGAAAGTTAGTAAGGAGAGATTGGTAACACAGACCTGTGGAAGTGATCTGGCTCCGTTCCTTGAGTCCAGGATATTTTTGATACTAGAACCATCTGGTCTTTCCAAAATGCACAAGGAACAAGCAGTGGCCAGAGTCCCTGGACTGTCAGAATGTTCTCATTTTGCACAGAGGTGCCTGTTGTCCGCACTAGAGCTGGAGCTCAGGACAGGACCTAGCCCAAGCTTTCTTAGTCTCTTGATGTGTGAGAACTGTGTAGAGAGTTACATCTTCCATGGACTGTGCTACTGTGCTTTGGTTATGTTTTAGAACTTTGGGGGACATCCACATTTCTCATCTGCAGAATGATTTGTCAGATTAAATTATTCTAAACTCCCCCTTTCATCTAGAAAGTTCTGATTCAAAACTCTGACTTTCATAGTGCTGGAGTTTGGATAAGAGTAGGAATGAGACTAAATAAGCAGGGATACAGGTGAACAACAAAAGTTCACCAGGAGAGGAAATATGCCTGATAGAGAAAGAAAACATTCACTGTGCTCATTCATTCTTCTTACACCCTTTCAAGACATGAGCAGCCCATTGGGCAAGTGCCTTTTGAATTTACTGTTGAAGTTCTTCATCCTGGGCCCTCAGGAAGGGAGCCTGTAGGGAGGTCACACCTTGGAGATGTGGTTGCCAGAGTTTCTCTGACCACTCAGAGAGCATGTGGAGAACCCATGCTGCCATTCTGCTCACTTCCTAAACAGAATGTGACCTAGCAGAAGAGAATCCTAGAGCCCCTAACTCTGCACCTGAGGTACCAGCTCAGCAGCTGTGTCCTCCAGAGTTTTCTCTTTTTTAAAAATTGTCTCTTTCTCCATTTTATGACTCCAAGGATCCTAGTGTAAATAAGTCTGGACATGTCCCAGGCTGGAGGGACTGTACTTCAAGGAGTCTTGCCCATTGGGAGAAGTTTCTAAGACCTAAGGTCCTATTCTTTCCTTTTTGAATGATAAACTAAAACCAGAAAGAGCTCACCAGTCCTCCTGGGGGGAGGTGTCCTGTAGGGAAGAGGCTCGGTGTGACCTCAGACGTGTAGTCTGAGAGCATGTCAGAGCCACTAACTTTACCTTGTTTTATGAGTAGTTGCTGCCGGGCACCAGTGGCTCATGCCTATAATCCTAGTTACTTGGGAGGCTGAGACTGGGAGGACTGAGACTCGAGACCAGCTCAGGCAAATAGTTCGTGAGATTCCCATCTCCAAAATAACCAGAGCAAAATGGTCTGGAAGTGTGGCTCAAGCGTGATTTGCAAGTGTGAAGCCCTGAATTCAAACCCCATCCTACCAAAAACAAATAACTGAAAAAGAGTTAGTTGCTTATCTATATGGTGACCATTCATCTCAATTTGCCTAGGACGGTGCTGGCTCAGGCAACTGTCCTAGAGAAAGTATAACTAGTGCTCTTTTTTACTCTCCAAAGGACCCTACTGGACAATAAACTATATGGTCACCCTGCCTATATGAACACTGGTCTAGACTATGAGACCCCTGAGAGCAGGGAAGACATGAAATTCATTTTAATTCCCTCAGTGTCCTGGAAAATGTTTGGTAGAGTAGGTGACTTGATAGATAAATGAATGAACAAATGAATTCCTAGTTTGGAAAATGATTCTGCCTAGGACTATAGGGACCCCAAGGTACCCATGGTCTGGGGATTTTAAGACTCTATGAAGATCACAAATCTGTGGCTGGAGAGCCCAGAGGAAGTATTACTGTATGTTGTGTGTAGGGACTCCATCATCTGGGGAAGACGAGCCAGGTTTGACTTAACAGCTTTCTCTTTCCATCCATCTATTACAGGCCTAGTGGTCTTGATGCTTCTACAGAGAGGTAAGTGGCCAATGGGTCACTACTTCCTGGGTCTCCTGGGTTGGGTCCTTACATTCTGATGCTTGGTTTCTGTCACTGCTACATGCTTTTTCTACTGATCACTTTCTCAGGTTCTGACATAAACACATTTATGACTCTGAGGTTTTGTTCTGTGTATCTCTGCATCTTTGTCTTTGTGTCTCTGTCACTATCTCTCTGTCTCTCTCCCTCTCTTACACACACACACACATCCATCCTATGTTCAGTGTTGCCTGAGTGGGTAAAAATATACACCATGCACACACATATGTGTCATCTCCTTGTCATTCATCCACGCACACACATTAAGTATCGATGCTCAGTGGGTGTTTTACATATTGATGATGTTTCTGTCCATCAATGTACTTCTTTACTTGGATCTGGTACTCAAAAGGGTCCACAGAATGACCCTCAGAGAATCTGGCTGAATAAACAATGTTGCCTTGGGGAGAAACTTGTTAACTTTCTGGGCTTTAAGGCAAGAGCACTAGAATCTAATTGATTCCCTACACTCTACTCCAGGATCTGCCTACAAACTTGTGTGCTATTTTACCAACTGGTCCCAGGACAGACAGGAACCAGGGAAATTCACACCTGAGAATATCGACCCTTTCCTGTGCTCTCATCTCATCTACTCATTCGCCAGCATCAGTAACAACAAGGTCATCATCAATGACAAGAATGAAGCCATGCTTTACCAGACCATCAACAGCCTCAAAACCAAGTCAGTAGGAGGGGAGTGGGAGCTAGGTGGGTTTTGAAGGAGGGAAGTTAGTTCCAAACTGGGCCTAAGCTTATGATCTCATTCATTCATTCATTTATTCATTTTCATTTCTTTTGGTATAAATCTCATCCCAATATTCTCCCCATGCCTCATTCATTCCCATGAAGCCCCTGCTAGACAACCAGGCTCTCTTGGTCCATATTAATCGCATCAAGAATTCTACCATTCAGGCAAATTCTATCATTAGCCAGGAATTCTGGCTTCCTTGGAATTCAGAAAAGAAATAATCAATTTATTCTTCTACTCCAGGAATCCCAAACTGAAAATTCTCTTGTCCGTTGGAGGATACCTGTTTGGCTCCAAAGGGTAAGACCACAGTCTCTATTTTTTGTTCATTTCCCCCTAATTTCTGATCACCATCACTTTCCTTCCCCTGAGAAGAGATATTGAACTAGGCATTGAGAGGTCTTCCTTTGGTCAGGTGGAAGAACTGATCTGAGTTTTGTCACACATTTTCTGTGTTGTGGAAGGAACTCCAGAGGAGCCTAACATGAACCATATAATTACGGCCTGAGAAAACTGGGTTGGAGCAACATTCAGTAAACAAAGGGTTTTCACCTTATAGATTAGGAGGAGATAGTTTTAATTGGGAAGCACAATTTTGTTTGTTTCTTTGTTTGTTGGGACTGGGTTTGAACTCAGGACTGCACACTTGCAAAGGAGGTGCTCTACTGCTTGAGCCACACCTGCAGTCCATTTTGCTCTCATTATTTTGGAGATGACGTCTTGTGAACAATTTGCCCATGAACCTCTATCCTCCCAATCTCAGCCACCCAAGTAGCTAGGATTATAGGCATGAGCTATTGGCACCCAGCATATGTATGTACCTATATACATTGTGTGTGTGTGTGTGTGTATGTGTGTGTGTGACTGGGATTAAAAATCAGGGCCTCATGCTTGCTAGGTAGGTGCTCTATCACTTGAGCCACTCCACCAGCCTAGGAAAGCACAAATTTTTAGTCACTTGAGAGTTAGATTTTGTGCCATGGAGTGGGTTCGGTGGTTATTTCCACTTAAAAACTCAGCCTTGACCCACAGCTCTACTGGGTCAAAGTTGTGTAGCCAAATGATCTAAGAATGAACAGAGCTGCAGAGGAAACAATCCCTACTGCTTTGCTTAAAAAAAAATGGCTGTTGATACAAAACATACATTATAAACTATATTTTCTATTCACATGAAAATGGTATCTCATTTATATCAAGAGTTAAAGAAGTCCAACTATGGAAGGATAAAAGATCCCCTTTTAATCGTCAACTATAGTTAATTTTGAACTTCTTCTGCTTTAATTTGTTAAAATGCAAATAGTTTTCAAGGTCTGGAGGTCTTTAACTCAGTCAGCAGAGTTTCAGTTTTCATGGAAGTCTGGTAGTACGACTTCTCTTGCAGCTTGTCAGGGTTCAGTTCTAGCAGAGAAGAGGATGTTAGAAGGCTTCTGTAGCCCTCTGCACACAGAAAGACAATCAGGCTGCATTACAGATTTGAGTCTATGCTAACCCCACCATGAACATCCTTCCATTATGAATTGGTTTCCATGGCATCCAACCTTCTATAGCTCTCAAATTCTCTTTTTAAATTACTTGCTTAAATTTTTATTCTATTAGACATGTTGTGGCTGGAGGTGTGGCTCGAGCAGTAGAGCACCTACTTAGCAAGCGTAAAGCATTAAATTCAAACTCCAGTACCACCAAAAAAGAAATGAAAAAAAAAAAGAAAGAAATATCTTCATTCATTGTTATATGCATGCATGCATTCATTCATTCCTTCCATAAATAATTTATTGAGTGCTTACTATGTACTAGTGTGTAGAGATAATAAGTAGGACTTTGGAGACAGACACTTCTGGCTTCAATTTTTATTCAAGGTGCACACAAGCTCTGTGGTTTCAGACAAGTTCCTCATCATCTGTAACCTCAGGTTTTTGGGTTTTTTTTTAACATACAATGAGGATAATAACAGAATTGACCTCAGGATGTCATTGTGAGGGCAGGCAACACAAACAAACTGTTTAGTAGTGCCAAATGCAATAAAGATTCAATAACCAGTATTCTATTATCATTGATATTATCATTAGTTAAATGCCAGGTTTTGTTCTAGATGCTGTGCAGAATATTCAAATGTGTATAATGCACAAAATTGTTTCTGAGGAGCAAGTTCATAAATTTCTATTACATGTTCATCTATTCTAAAATTGGAGCTGTCTGCCCAGTCATTGCCCAGTCTTGCCCAAGCAAGAAACTAGGAACTGATTTCCTCCATGGTTTTCTGACACCAGGCCAGTTCCTTGCTATCTTCTTCACTGAGCAGCTAAGATAACACAAGAACCAAACGTCAATTTATTATTGACTGAAACAAAATTCATTCAAGACTGTACTGGTGGTAGGAGGTATCATGAGAAGAGAGAAGTGACTCAACTCAAAGGACATAACCACTGCCAGTACTGAGTAGGAAAACACCAATATCTCAGCTAACAGCTTTGGATTTTAAATGCTCTTCATGTGGACAACTGAGAATCAACTTCACAGGTTAAGAATTCTAGTTCAGATGAAAGCCAGTGAACAGCTACTGCTTTTAGAGTCCTTCTACTTTTCATCAGCAGCCCCAGCAGTAGGGAAATCTGAGTTGCCTGTTTGTGACTATGAAGTCCCCTCAGTCCTGCTCCTTTTTATGGAGTGTTCTTAAATGTGATCACTTTGAAGCACATGTAGCAAGATTAGTATCCTCGGTCCCAGTTTAGAGATGGTCAGGCTGGAGCCCTCAGAGCTGGTTAGTGATGAAGTAGTCACTGGAAAGGACTCTGACCTGGGACTTGAACCCTGATCTCTTAAATCTAAACACACCTCAGGGCACACTGCTTCTCCAAGGGTGCGAGGTGCTAAAGAAAACCAAAGCTGGACAGTATTTAATGTGATCAAGATATACTTTATTCAGGAACTCCTACATTAAGGGAAAAGAGACCTCAGTATAGTACAACTCAGAATTCAATTCTGAAAACAGCAAAGACAGTGAGGATTTATAGCCAAAGATCAGGCTGATGGATTGCTAAACTTACTTGACAGGATTCTTGCCAAAAGCAGGCTGTTGTAATGACTAGATATCAATCACCCGGGGGTCAGTGGGAGGTAAGGATGGTCTGATATTGAAGGCGAGTAACACCAAGAGTGAGGATTCTCACTACACTCTACCACCTGAGCCATGCCCCTGATCCCTAACAGCAGAATTTGTGCTATAACTAGACTCTGCAAAGATATACACAGAAGCCAAAGGTCAAGGTCTAGTTGAGAAGAGGGCTCAAGATGTACCTGTCTAGTTTGGTCACAGAAACAGTTTTTGTCAAAGGCAGCTCCATTCCCCAGTAGAGAACCTAGTCATAGGTTCTGATCAATTCTCTGGCCTGACAGTCCTTCTCCCCATTAGTCCCAAAAGGGGCAGGAGTTGAAATAGACAAACAGTAGGCAAATATTGTGGACAGGAAAGCTACGTCAGGATTTCTGTAAAAAATATCTTGTGCTGTGGTTATTGCTTGTTCATTCAAAAAAAAAACCTGTATCGATTGTACCCAGGTTCCACCCCATGGTTGATTCTTCTACAACACGCTTGGAATTTATTAACTCTGTAATCCTGTTTCTGAGGAGCCATAACTTGGATGGACTGGATGTAAGCTGGATCTATCCAGATCGGAAAGACAACACTCAGTTCGCTATGCTGATTCATGTAAGCCAGACTTCAAGGGACACTCGACCTTTAGCGTGCAGAATCCATAGTCACACTGGAGGGAGGGAGGAGGAGATTAGAACCATTAGGGAGACACAGCCCCTTCCTTTTAGCATTCCCCACTGGAGACTGAAGCTCCTGTTTCTAATTTAGGGTAGGGACAACACCAAACAACAAAGTCCTCTTCATGCAATGAACGAATGACCAGAATGCAACAAAGTCCAAATAAAAGAGCATGGGGCCACAGAATTTCCTGGATACGATGGCCTCATGGAAAAATCTATCAGATAGATCAGAAAATCTATCACAAGGGAAACCCAGATAGCTCTTTGCTGGGTGAGGTAAGGCTGGGGTTCTCCTACCTAACGTAGAGACCTCCTGGGCAGATACAGGCACAAGGGCCCCCCCATGTGAGACAAGGAGGAAGGAGTCATCTCTCTCACCCAATGTGGTTCTAGAAACTTCATCGATTCCAGGCAAGAAGCTTAGCACTATATTCCAGGAGGAAGGTCTGGCATCTTGTTTCCTGTTTTTCACAGGAGTTGGCAGAAGCCTTTCAGAAGGACTCTGTTAAATCCACCAAGGAAAGGCTTCTCTTGACTTCAGGTGTTTCTGCAGGGAGGCAAATGATTGATAACAGCTATCAGATCAAGAAACTGGCAGAGTGAGTACTTCAGAGCACCTTGTCACTCCTTTCCCTCCATCCTGGTCCATGCAAGTGATACATGTCTGCATATTGGAGGCACAAGGGGAGGAAAGAGAAGGAAGGTCACTGACTTAAACATATACCATGTAGCCAGGAACCATTTCCTTCCAGTAAATTTCCATCCTTCCAACAACATTCAAAGCACAAAATAATTATCAGCAATTGTTTCCACCCTGCTCATCACAGAATCCCTGCTTTTGCTTTTGATGCATTAGCGATCTGGATTTCATCAATCTCCTGTCTTTTGACTTCCATGGGTCTTGGGAAAAGCCTCTCGTCACTGGTCACAACAGCCCTCTGAGAAAAGGGCAGCTGGACAGAGGGACAAGCTCTTACTATAATGTGGTGAGTGTTACAGAGGAACCACAATGCAGCACTGTTGGGGAGGGACTGAGGAGAGAACAGCACCTGGAATTCCTTCACTCTTGCACTGAGGAAGATTTAAACAAATACCTAGAGGAACTCAGGTAACCCCAGGAATCAGTGAGTGAGCAACACTCCTTTACCCAGGCACCAGTAAAAGGTCACATGAAAAATTCAGAGGACCTAGATGTATAATCAGCTCCATCTCTGTCCCAGCATGTCACCTACCCCAATTTTCTGGATTCTCTATCTTCCTGGCACCTACACAGGTGGTCAAAATTTGCACCCTCCCATATCCATCCATATTCCCTACTTGGTCTGATTTTCCAAACCATCCTATGAAGTCAGCGGATCAGAAAGCATTACTCACCATCCACAGGTTTAGAAACAGAAGCCAGAGAGAGTCCGTGACTGTTGAAAGACCTGCTGATGCCTGAAAAGTGGTCCTGAAAAGTGGAGGGAAATGGAAAGTCTAAGAAAAAAAAAGTTGTTCTATACACATATATGGATGTATATACCTACATTTTTGAAAAACAAAAGGGTCCAGTTTGTATGTTTTCAGGAGTTCACATGTCAAGTTATAAAATTGGGACTGGAGGTGTATAGCTTAGTCATAGAATGTATGCTTAGCATGCATGATTTCCTGGGCTCAACCCACAGTAAAAATAAAGTTACAAATTTGATTCATTTAAAGCTAGATCTTCTGATTTCTATTTGGAGTTTTCTAGGGCTCCACATGGCTGAACCAGATCAGCTTCCACTCCTTTCTCTCCATTGTCTTTTAGGATGAGGAGACATATCCTCAACTCTCTAACTCCTTATTTTGTTCTGGGCCAAAACTAGCCTCTTACCTGTCTCATTGGATTCAAGGTCATTGTTTGGCTTGAAAATTAGGAGTCTGATAGCCACCTTCATCAGTAAGTAGGGTTAGCCATCATGTAGACCATCATGTAGACTATAGGTCATTGACTCAAAGGGGAAAGAAAGATGACGACAACCCTGATTTCATGTTTTCTAAGTCTCTTGCCTGATTGTGATTCTTTCACAATGTCAGAAGAACTCAGAGAGTTTCCTACTGCTGGAGAAAATTAGGTGCATTAGAATAAACACTCTGGTGCTGGTGGGGCTGTCCACACTTGGATGTAGAAAAGGAATAAAAGAGTCACCTGTGTGAGATTTCGGATGGAGGCTAAGCAAGGCCTCACATCTTTTCCCCACTCCCCATAAACCTGGGCCTCACTCTTTCTTTCCTTTCTAGGAGTATGCTGTGGGCTACTGGATACATAAGGGAATGCCTGCAGAGAAAGTAATCATGGGAATCCCTACATATGGACACTCCTTCACACTGGCTTCTGCAAACACTGCCATAGGAGCTCCTGCCTCTAGTTCTGGAGCTGCTGGTCCCATCACCAAGTCTCCAGGCGACCTGGCCTATTACGAGGTACCTGGAACTTCCCTGTGCTCTCAAGCTGCCTGCTATGTCTGGAAAAGAGTTCCAGTCCCAATCTACAGTGATGGGAGGAAATACAGAAGGCTATTGGAGCCCCTAAGAGGAGCTCCTAACTCCAATTTCAGGAGGAAGGCAAGGATGCTTCTAGATGAAATGAAATAAGATGAACTCTGAAGAAGAGATGGAGCGAGCCTGGAACAGGGATGGATAGAGGAAGGTTTTGCAGATTGAACAGGGAGGCTGTCCTAGATTCTTGCCTTGGGCAACTAGGTGAGCAGCAATGTCACTTACTGAAATAGGGAAGACAAGAGAGGAAGTAGAGTCCAAGTGGTCCCCATCATGAGACAGTCTGAGTTTGAGTGGCCCTTGGGACATCCAAATGTGAAATATGAGTGGCTGATTATGTGGGCTTAGGTCGCAGAAAGTCTGTCTGTGCTAGAAGGTAGATTTGCACATCAACAGCATAAAGGTGATATTTGAAGCCAAAGCACACAGTGAGAAGTAAATAGGGCTCAAAACAAAACCTCCTGCACCTGAAGAAGGAAGGCGCCCATGCCTTCTCCCCCTACCTCTGATGCACAAGCACATAGGTCTGTGGCCCAACCATTGTGACAGCTGCTGCAAGACCATCGTGTGCTCTGAGCACCTGCAAAGACACCTCAAGAAGGATGGCTGCAGCAGTGTCCTGTCACATTGGGACCACAAGCCCCTCATACTGCCAATGCCACCTGATGCCAGGAGACACCCCTCCCACACACCCTCCATGCTTCCCACAAGAGCCAGAAAGAGCACATGAGGACCACGAGGACTAGGACAAGGCCAGCCCCTACATGTAGGGCTGCCTGAATATAGCAGGCAGTGACACAACCAAAGTGGCCCTGGGGCAGCCACCACCAAGGGTAACTTTACAGCAGGACTTACCTAAAAAACAAAAAAGATAACAGCAATGAGAGAGAGAGAGAGACAGAGAGAGAATGAATTACCCACCATCCCCAAAACACAATAAAGAAGAAAATCTATCTATACATATACACGAATATGTATATAGTCATGGAACTAGGGGGGAAAAACAAAAACAAAAGGCTTATCATAAAGGTGGGAAGAATGTAGAATAAGAACATAACTAATTAAGTGAGAGTTTAAAAACAAGGTCAGTATAATAATAAAATTACTGAGGTATTACAAAATAAGATGCAAATACATGGCCAATGAGTGGGGTGGAGGACCATGAGATAGATGACTGGGGCTAGCTCCATGGAAGAGGAGAGATTTGTGCCTTGAAGGATGGATAGGAGTTTGGCCAGGTAGAGGAAACAGCATCATTTTATATGCTGGTCAATCCTGGTAATCCCAGCCTGCCTCACCTCTCATGTCTTGAGCATGCTGTCAGCTGGTGAGGAGTGACTTGCAAGTCACTGAGGTAGCCAGCGGGTGTAATGGTCACTTTTCCCCTCTCCTAATGCAGAAGAATAATTGATGTAACATCTGTTCAGTTGACAAAGGAAAAGGGAATGAGTCATCATAGGAATCTTCATCTCAATTTCAGGAAGCCTGACAGCTTGGAGGGGGAAAAGAAGCTGGGCCTTCTGACGCTTCCAACCGTAGGTAGTTCTAGGTCCATAGAAACCACAGCTGACATAAGGGCACAAGAGTTTTGACATGGCCCCTGGAAATTCACTCCACTGTAGCAGAGTTTTGATTGGATTGTTCAGTTTGTCACCCTAAGTCACTTTAACAAGTTGATATTTGTTTAAATAGTCAACTTTCATTTTCTGCCTTCATTGAGGAAGCATGAGTGTAAATCATCCCAAAAGAGTAAGCAATCCAAAATGAATTTTCTTTTTTCTTTTCAAGTACTGAGGTTTGAACTAAGGGCCTCATGCTTGCGAAGCAGGTGCTTTACCATTTCAACCACTCCACCAGTCTCCAAAATGAATTTTCTATGTGATGTTGAAATGCGTTTTTTTCACTGAACGTTTATTCTTTGTATCAGCTCTTATATTAACAGAAGAGGTAGTAATAGGGGACCAGATGAAGCGTGAGGGCGGGGGATCTCAGGACACAGCATATTGTGAATGGCAGGGAACACTAGGGAATTAGTGGGAATAAACTACAAGATGGAGAATGATGGTGATTCCCATCTTACTACTTTCAAAAATATTTTAATGTGTATTCTTTCATTTAATCTTAACAATAGTGTGAGGTAGGTATTTAGGAGGTTACTATGATCTTTTCCATTTCACAAATGAAGAAATAGGAAGATTTCTTGGTCATTGCTGGGTCTGATCTGGAACTGATGTATTTTCTGACTTCTGTATGTGACTCCTCCTGATGAGGTCTTAGCACAGTTTCCAGTGGTTTACCTTGGACCATTCATTCCGTATGATAAATTAAGTCATTTCCCCAAGCCCTTAGTGACTAGCCTGCCCTGCCCACCTCACTAAATTTCAAAAAGAGCTCACTACTTACCCTCTTCTTCTGTTTTCCCTCACCAGATCTGCCAGTTCTTGCAAGGAGCCAAAATCACCAGGCTCCAGGATCAGCAGGTCCCCTATGCGGTCAAGGGGAACCAGTGGGTGGGCTATGATGATGTGGAGAGTGTAGAAACCAAGGTAGGTGGGCGATACCAGGACAGGGGATGCTCCTGTTCGTGGGGGGGGTGTGCCTCAGTACTCTATGTTGAATGGGAGATGCTTCTGGGCCCCCAGATTCAGGATGGGATCCAGTGTCCTTGGAAGCCCATCTAAGCCATGCCTGTGAGCACCTGTGGTATAGGAATGAGAAGAGGAAAAGATGCAAGAAAAGATTGAGAATAAATGGAAAAATGATGAGTGGAGAGAAGTGAGGAGTAAGGAGAGGGGAGAGGACATAAAGGAGACATTGCTGCCTACATGAAGTGGTTATCTACCTTGTCTATTTGCAGGACAAATCCTTGGGTCCTTTTCATGGATTGCCCATCCAAGAAACCCCAGATTTCTGAACCTACCAGTTCTCAGAACCGGAAGGCATTAGGGCAGAAAGAGGCTTGAGTGTATTGACAACCCTGGGCCTCTTGTCTTGCTAAAGGCTCACTGGTTTCTACCCTTGAGAGTTTCCACAGCCTTCAAGAATGCTGGTCCTGTAGTGTGGTCACTCTGTGAGCCACAGTGAGGGATGACTAATAGTGTGTGGCGTTCTCTTTCTCACCATGAGCAACCTTTGCTTCGGGGAGTCTCTGACCCCATGAAACCGATCTGTTCCATTCTAAGCACAAACAATCCTCTGACCTTGACTTGGTCATGAGCATGTAAAGGCCTCTTCCAATCTCTGAATGTCCTTCTGTCCCTCCTACAGGTTCAGTTTCTAAAGAATTTAAACCTTGGAGGGGCCATGATTTGGTCTATTGATCAGGATGACTTCACTGGCAAATCCTGCAACAAAGGCCCCTATCCACTTGTCCAAGCTGTCAAGAGAAACCTTGGCTCCTTATGAAGGTAACAGTCTGAGGTGAAAGGTGGGGGTGGGCAGAGAGCTGGATAGAACAGGGCACAGGAGATAAGGATGGGTGGTGGGAGACAATCTTCACAGATTTGGATAGATCCTTTCCCATGCTCCTTTACTCTTTCTACCATGTTTTCTTATGGATTAGGCTGGTTTTGTTTGATCCCACAACAATTTTGTTATAGAAACATTAGTCTGTTTTAATTTTCTAAATCTGAATAGGTTTGACCCTGTGCCCTTAACTCACTGAACTGATGAGAAATTCAATCTCAGTTATTACCTACTGCTCCCTCCTCCCACCCACAGTTGACTCTTCTTAGTGTAGACAGTTGGGAAGTCCCACAGTCATTATCAATGTGCTCTTGCCCAAGTTTACCTATTATCTTGAAGGCAGTGGCTCTAAGACTGCTTCATCCCTGGTCCTATGCTTCCTAAGTACATTGTAGTCCTATTGGCAGGTGAAGACTGTTGCTAACCAACAAGCCATGTAGAGATCCATTGGTTCCATGGTGGGGGTGAGCAGCACAGACTGACAACTGATGTGGGCAAGCCATGCTACTCTAGGAGAAATGCCCTCATACATTTGGAAAATACTAGGTGATTGGTAGGAACCTTCCAGCTATGAGCATCCTTGGATCAGTAACTTGATTCAGACCACAGCATACTGAATTGGGTATTGAGCTATTTATTGCTCCTTTTGTGTCTAGGTGTAACTGAAAGTGGAGTAGGTGAGGTGACCTTGCTGCCTGCTGCTTCAATAAGAGTTCTCGTGTGGGGTTGGGGTTTCCCCTCGGCTGGCCTCTAGAGCTCACTCTTTCAAGCCTTCCCTGATTGTATCTTGGATCTTAGACTCTCTTTCATGTCTTTATTCCAGACCTTGAATTGGACCAGTGTTTGTGTTCCTGCAGGTGTTGAGTTAAATAATTGTTTTGCTCCAGCCAGCGTGGCTTCATTTGAGCCCCAGTCCTGCAGTCTACTCAGTCATGGGGAGAGGAGCAGCTGGAAGAAGACCACAGTAAGCTCCTCCCAAGCAGGAGTCAGCAATTTATGGCCCATGATCAAACCTAACCCACTGCCTGTTTTTTCAATACAATTCTATTGGATCTCAGTCATGCATGGTTTATTTACATATTTTCTGTGGCTGTTTTCTATGATAGCAGAGTTGAGAAGTTGAGACAGAGAGAGTATGGACCACAAAGTCTAAAATACCTCCTGCTTGGTTCTTTACAGAAAGTTTGCCAATCTTTTCTCTAAACCATAGTGCCCAGAGCAGGGACCCCCTTTTCCCATGGCTGAGGCTGTTTCTGGGCACAGATGCCTTAATTTTGGGTGAACTGTTTTCTCCCATGTTTATACTTCTCAACCAATCTTTTCCTTCTAAAAAAATCATTTTTATCCTAACCTGTGAACAACACTTTCACACACATATTTAATCCCTGTGGCTTATGAAGTAGCAAAATTAGCCCAATTTTTAGATGAACTAAGCAGAGCTCAGGGAGTGTAAGGATGTGTGTCTGGGAACTGGCAGCACACAGAATGGATCTTAGAGTGTGATGACACCAGAATTTCTGTGGATGAGGAGATAAGAGGCAGATACATGACCCAAAAGGAAATAAGAGTGGGAATATTAGAAGAATTGCTTCAAAATTGCTTTGATAAGACATTTAGATGGTCATCAGTTATATCAAAGACTGTTTAACACCACCAACCATCAGGGAATGCAAACCCAAACCACAAAGACATAGCACTCACCTCAGTGATAATACTACTATCAAAAAGATAACAAGTGTTGGTGAGGAAGGTGGGGAAATGGGAAATCTGACTCATTGTGATTAGAAATATAAATTAGTACAGCTATTATAGAAAACAGAATGGAGTTTCCTTAAAAAAATTAAAAATAGAACTCTCATATGACACAGCAATCCCTCTACTGTGTATATATTCAAAGGAAATTAAATCAGTATGTTAGAGACCTCTGCATTCCTATATTCACAGAAGCACTACACACATAGCCAAGAGATTAAGTTAAACCTGTGTCTATCAACAGATGAATATATGCAATGGAATACCATTCAGTCATAAAAAGGACAAAATAGTGTTATTTGTGATAACATAGACAAACCTAAAGGATATTATGTTAAATGAAGTAAGTCAGAAACAGAAAGATAGCTGGGCACCAGTGGCTCAAGCCTGTAATCCTACTCAGGAGGCAGACATCAGGAGGATAGCAGTTCCAAGCCAGTCCAGCCAAATAGTTCATGAGACCCTACCTCAAAAATACCCAACACAAAAAGGGCTAGTAGAGTGATTCAAGTGATAGAGTGCCTGACTAGCAAGTGTGAGGCCCTGAGTTCAAACCCAAGTATCACCAAAAAAAAAAAAAAACCAGATAAACACCACAATGATTTCACCCATTTATGGAATCTAAAAAAGTTAATCTCATAAAAGTTTAGAGTAGAGCCAAGTGTGATGTTGTACCCTGTAATCCCAGCATTCAGGATGGTGATGCAGGAGGATCTTGAGTTTGAAGCCAGCTTGGGCTATTAGAGAGACCCTGAATCAAAAGTAAAAAAGAGTTGGCCAAGGGCATGGCTTGAGTGGTAGAGTGTCTGCTTAGCAAGTGGGAGGCCCTGCATTCAAATCCCAGTACCACCAAAAAAAAAGTTAAAAGTAAAAGGGCAGAGGGAGGGGGAGGGGGGAAAGTTAGTCAATGGTACTAAATTGCAGTTACACAGGAGAAATAAGTATGGTGTTTTATTGCATGGTAGAATAACTAGTCAGCAATAATGCATTGAGTATTTCAAAATAGCTAGAAGATTTTAAATGGTCTCCCTACAAATAATGACAGCTTTTAAGGTGATGGAAATGTCAGTGGCCCTGATTTGGTATTGTACAATGTACATAGTATCAAAACATCATATACTAACCAATGAACATGTTCAATTATGACATGTGACAAAAACTGCTTTAAATAGCCCTTGTGGCTGAGAAAATACTAGATGTACATAGCAAAGAGTGTGAAGGGCAAGCACTGATGGATTCTAGGAGAGATTGGTCCCAAATACCCTCAAATGCTACTCAGATTGTTTTTGAGACGGGGTGTCATGATGTAGCCCAGGCTGACCTCAACCTCAGGACCCTCCTGCCTCAGCCTCAAGTGTTGGAATTACAGGTGTGTGCTGCCACACCCAGTCAGATCTTCTTACAAGGCAAACTTTGCTCAGGGTACAGCTCTGTCTTTCTGACTCTGTATTATTCCTTTGCTGCCTCTGGTAGTTCAGTTATCAAGAGGCAAAACTGCAGAGTAATCAAGAACAGTCAGATCATGTGGCTCGCACTGGCTTTGTCACTAACTGACTGGCTGTGTGACCTTGGGCAAAGTGTTGGTTTTCTCTGTCCCCCAGTTTTCTCATCTGTAAAATGAATGATGATAAGAGTTCTTACCTCCTAGTGACGTGGTGGTAAAGTCAGTTAATATTTGTGAAGCATTTGGATCACTTCTGAAACATAGGAACATTATTTGTGTTTGCTATTACTTCCATTAAAAGGAAAACTTTAGACAAAATAAACTTAACAGAATTTATTTGAGTAAAGGATGATTCATGAATCAGGCAGCACTGAGAACCAGGAAGTTCAGAGAGCTCTGTTCTGCAATGTGAGCAGTAAGTGTTGATATTCAGAACAAGGACATAAGATACAGAAATAGCTTGATTGGTTACAGTTGGAAGTTTGCCTTATTTGGACATGGTCTATCATTGTCTTCTTGTGATTGGCTGAGATCTGGCTATCTATTTTTCCCCAAATCCCATAAGTTTAATTTAGTCATGTTGGAAAATACCACATTGTATCAGTGCTGGAGGGAGCAGGTATACCTGAAAGGTGGCATTTATATCTATCTACTGCACTGTAGTCACTGTCCCCATGGGTCTGAAGATCTATTATTTTTTAAAAGTCATAAATTGGTTTTCAGCTTGTTTACTTACTAAGTTAGGTTGCAGTCTATTATGTAGGAATTCAAAATATAGGGACAAACTCAGACAAAATTTAACTTAACACTTTCATTATCCATCTGTAGATTAGCAGGAGGTAGAGTATGGGAAGCTTGCCCAACACATTAGCCTTGGCCTAAGAACCCATTAAAAGTCTGTGTCTTGGCCCCCAAGTCCTGAACTCTGGAACCCTTTCTCATACTTGCTTTGATGAGAGAACCATTTGCTTTGCAAGATTTGAAAGGAGATTAAGGAGAACAGGGACTCTTATTTGACAGGAGTTGGGAGAGACACTGGTCAACTTTTTTCTTTTTCTTTTCTTTCCTTCCTATTTTTTCTCTATCTTTGGCCCCTCTCTACTGTAGCAAGAAAGGGGAGGCCAGAAAAGAAACAGACAGGCTGTGTTCTAACAACAAGACAGGGGGAGGCGATGGCAAAGCAGAGAGATAAAACTTAAAGAATTGAACCATGAAGGTCACATAGCACTGGGGGAATGAAATAGCCAATGAAGTCACATGCAGCCATGTGTGGGTTGAACTTTGCTTTTGTGCTTCTGTAACCTGCTTGCAAGGGTATATAAGGTGAGATCCCTTTGTTCTTGGGGCTCAGACTTTGGACACGAGTCCACTGGGTCTGTGCTGGCACAATAAACATTGCTTCCTGCTATTCTGCCTCAGAGACTTGTATCTCAGCTCATAATTTCCCCCAACATTACTTGGGGGCCCATTTGGGATTAAGGGACATGATGAGTTATCACCTCCCTTGTCACCGGGGTGCATCCCCCCAGACCACTGGGAGGAGATCCTACCAAACACCAATGGACAGCTTGATCTGGAGGAGGGATTCATCCTTCCAGCAAGTTGGGGTGAGGGCCTCGAGTGCACAAAGGAACCCACTGAGGTGCAGGAACCAACTTAGGAACACTGCTCTTCATACTGGTAAGAACCTGGGTTCAAGTTCAGGCCTGCCTCAGGAGGCAGAAAGGGAGACTGATCACCTCCCAGA